TAGATGTGGGTAAATGTGGTAGAACATGGTTAACTAAGGGTAGATGAGGGTTAACGTGGTTGAAAATGGTTAACTTAGGGTACATGCTGCTCAACGTGGTAGAACATGGCTCACCTATGGTGGAAGTGGGTTACCGTAGTGGAACATGGTTAACTTAGGATAGATGTGGGTTAACGTGGTAGAACATGGCTAACTTAGGGTAGATGTGGGTTAACGTGGGAGAATAAAGCTAACTAGGACATATGGTACGTCTTACATGAATCTTATAGCATATATATTGTCAGCCATTTTGTCGTCTATATGGCATTCAGCCATGGTGTGTATACCAAATAATAATTTCATTTCTCCTTTGTCAAAAAAAGCATTTTTATCCCCTTATTTGTCCTGTCTGTACCTGTTTCTTTCCGAGGAAAGAGGAAATATTTAGCGTCGAAAATTAGGGTTTTCAAGTCCGCCGTAGTAAATTTTCGTTCCAGCGACCTTGCGGTGAGGAGATTGGAATAGCGATACTTAAGTTGCGTGTTATTCTTTGAGAAATACAAAAGTAATATAAAAATGGAGGTACCGGTACTAAGATTCCCTGAACGTGGAAAAAGGTCAAGAATTCAAACCTGGCCGTTCCCTTAGTCGCTAGATACGTCTTGAATACGTCGTAATTGTTACTAACTGCCTCCATGATTGTGTACTGTATGGCGTCAGGCTCTACATACCTCTAGCTTTCCATTTTTCTGCTATTTAACCTTTCCTTTCTCCTCTCTTCCAGACCTATAACATCTTTTTGTTGTTTTATTTTGTTTGTTTGTTTTTCTCTAAACCGTTAAGTGCAATCTTCGCCACAATAAAGTTGAATTTTGAACAACTTCCCCCTTCTACCCACTCCCCCCTCTCCGCCCCACCGCCTTGTCCAAGTAGGCAACTAGAAACTGGATCGTCTGAAAAGGGTTTTCGCCTGAAAATTAATTCCATTTTATATATTTGAGGCCTAATTTTGGTATTTTACATTTCTACCACCCCATTCTCTTGCCTAAAAATTTACAATAGGATAAATTTATGCACCTAAATTTTACATTAGTTTCTTTGAGGTCTGAACAAAGAACTTTATTTCATCATTGTTTAATTGCTGTATGAGAGTGCGAGTTCATCTCAAGGTTCGCTTGGGCGCATTATTTTTCTACTTTTCAAACAATGCATGGATCCTCACTACACGAAGGAACGACGTTGGGAGATGCGCTAGCAGGTTGCATCACTACTGTCATGAGGCTTGCACCGATCCGATGATGAACTATGCGGGGCCAATAAGCTGACCTTGTACGATTGCCGAGTTTCACATGATCAGGTATAATCGCGATAGCTACACCCAAGGACAGTGAATCTTCGGCGGCAATTTTCTCGAGACGATGACTTGCTTTTTCGTACTAGTGGTGCGCATGGGGTGTCTTAGTGACGCAGATCATGTGTCGCTGGGAAAAAGTTTGAGCAGTACCACACCAAGCTCGTCTCGTCTCTTGTTTCGTGTTATTGGACAGTGCTTAATATAGCAACTTATCCTAACTTCAGATGGAACGTGATTGTTAAGCAAGGCTATACGTTAGGAGAAGCTTCAGAGAACAGGCTATCAACCCTTGGTTGACCCTAGATTGACTGTTTTTCGATTAGATCGCCACTAAGTTGATTAATCTTCGGACAAATAACTCCGTCTGGCACGTAAGAAAGAGAACGTCTGCACCAAAAACTTTAAAGCAAGTACCGCAATATTGTAATGTGCAACAAGGATAAGAACGTCTGACCGATAAACGACGATCGTGGAAAATGTCGGACGAGTGGATTTCACAGGCATATCAGTCCATCCAACCTTTTCGACATACGCTGATCCGGCAAGGACTAAAACATGGAACGACCTATAACCACCTAAAACCACCTATAACCATCTACAACCATCTAAAACCACCTCAAAAATTTCAACAACGACCTACAACCACCTCAAAAACATCTACAACAACACGCAAACTATCTAAAACCATCTAAAACAAGGCATAAATGTCTTAACTAATGCGAAACGACAACATGTCACGTACATGAAATACGAGAATCGAACGAAACCTCCACCTCCCCCTGAAATCTTACTCTCCCTGGTCCCACGTATAACCAACCATCTCACGAAATGAAATGCGAGAGCATGCCAATTATATTTTTTATTACCTCAGTGGTAAAAGACCTTAAGAACTTTACAAAATAAACTATCAAGTTACAAAACATAATAAAGTAAAATAACAAACTCGTAATCAAGACTGACTTGACTTGGCTTTTTCTACCCTGGGTACCAGCTGACGTTTTGGCTCATGTCTAGAAAAAGTATGAGTAAGAATGATCATTAGAAATATTTCAAGCGAACTGTGTGTACATTTGGAATCTTCCTTTGGCACGAACGCCATCGTGCTGGTATTCATACAGCATGCAGTTGTACGAGTGATGCCACTTACGCAATAGTGACTCACGTTTTGCTCCAATTACATTTCCATTGCTGAGATTATAAATGGAGAAAAACACTATCTTAGACCATTACGTAATCAAATGAAACGTGAGCTAAAACGTTTGCTAGTACAGTTCTTTAGGTCTTTTCCTACTGAGGTAA